CATCCCTGACTCAGGAGTCCTAAATGCGGGAGTTGGCCATGGTGCACTTTCAGTCTCCCTTCACCTCAGATAAGGACTTGCTTACGACACCCAATGCTTCCTTTTGTCCCATCATCCCTCAGTCGGTTGACCTTGTTGGCCTTTGCGAGCTCCTAAGCAGGGAGGAGATTAGGGAGGCTATTTTTTGGGATTGACCCTAATAATGTCTCTGGCCCAGATAGCTTCTCACATCTCTATCAGGCCTGTTAGTATCGTGTTGAGACTGATGTTGAGAAACCATGGTGGAATTCTTCTCTGGTCACCAGATGCTGGAGTTGTTCATGGCTACCTCAGTCGTCTTTATTCCCAAAAGACTTTGCCCGAGCTCTTGGTCAGATTATAGGCCTATCATCCTCTTTAATGTGACCAACAAGCTCATCTCCAAAATTCATAACAGCCGCCTTGCCCCTTTCCTTCCTTCTCTTATCTCTTCGAACCAGAGTGGTTTCATCAAGGATTGAGTCATTAGTGATAACATTATTTTTGTCCAGAAGATGATCCACGACATCTCTCATGCAGATCGGTTGTGAGTCCCCAAACTTGCGCTAAAGCTAGACATGGCTAAGGCATATGGTAGGGTCGAGTGGCCTTTTCTCAGGGAGGTGCTAGTCCGGATGTGTTTCCAAGAGTGGTGGGTCAGCTTTGTGGAGGTGTGTGTGGAGCACTGCACGTTCTTAGTTCTGGTTAATGGCAGCCCCACCGACTTCTTCGTTTCATCTCAGGGACTCCGGCAGGGGGACTCTTTCTCCCCCTTGCTTTTTGTTCTGGTAGCGGACTACATTTCTCGCTCCCTTGACGCCTTCATCCGTGATAATCCAAGGATGACCTACAGAATAAGTGGTTATGATCCTCCCATCTCGCACCTCGCTTATGCAGATGACATCATTATCTTCATACATGAAGATAATGATGTACTGGTTGAGTTTATGCACCTTCTGGAGCGTTACGGCTCGGTCACCGATCAGCTCGCCAGTGTGCAAAAGAGCACCTTCATTCTCTTCCCTTCCATTTCGGATCAGTGGGCGCAGTGGGTCCACGAGCGCAATAGTCTTTGATAAGGCTATTTCACTAATGTAGGTGTTTGACGAGTCGACCTCGCCTTCTACCTTATTTTGTGTTTAATTCCGATCGCTACCAGGTGAGTTCATTTATGTTGAATCTACATTTATCGCACTTGTTATTTCGTACAAATGTTTGTTTCGATAGTTTTTGTATGCGTGAGAACCCTAGTCTAAGTGTCCCGACGGTAGTGCCTTTGATGAATGCATAATCAGTGAAAGTCACCTGCCCGTTGCATCCGGGAGGTGGACGCCCGAATCCGTGTAGAGCGGAGGGGATTGTCTGAACGCCTGAATCCGTGTAGAGCGGAGGGGTAATTCAACTTCACTGTCTCCTGGATAATATTCTATACCCGTTGCATCCGGGGTGGGAATGCTTCCAGTTACATCCTTATCGATGTCTGGTCGGAAGGTTTGTTGTATGTACATAGAAGGTTTGCGATAGGGCCTAATAGGGAGTTAGATCTGGATTCTATACATACATTATTTATGGTTATGGATCTTTATGCGAAATATACTGTGCGGTAATGGTGAGTATGATGGTTGTACTCACCCCCATTTACTTTTTCTGTCCTCTTTTTCCTCTTCCTATCCTTTTAGGTTGAGCATGGTTGGCGGCGGCAGCGAGGGACGATCGAGTGGTGGTCGTTGGATTGCGTGTTACTTGCTTCCGCTTTTCTTTCTATTATCTGGATAGACTATTTGTTTAACTTTGAATATTTATGCTTCCGCCTTATTTATTTCGAACATGTTGGAATATTTTATTATGCATGACTGGGTTTGAGGATTATGAATAAATTGGATTTTGTTTTGAACTGTTGGATTGTACCTGTGTAAATGCTTATTGGTTTTAGTTATTTAAGTAGTGCCCCTTAAATATTAAAGTTTTAAATTGGAATTTCGCGAAAAATAAACTCTAATTTTTATAAATAAATTCGGTAAATCCATTAAAATAAAACGGGGCGTTACAGCCTGTCCAGAACCTATTTCCCCAGAGTCATTGTTTGGGTGAGACCCAATTCCCCTTAGGTTAAGCTAAACACTAACGGATCATTCAACCAACTTACTGTAGCTGCTGGAGGCAGAGGCCAGATTAGGGATCACATCGGAGCTCTCATTACCGCCTTCCACGCCCCTCTTAAGTCCTCCTCAAGCTACAACGCGGGGGTTCAGGCGATTCATATCGGTCTTCAGATTGCAGCCTCTATCTCTTCTCACATTTAGATAGAGTTGAATGTTGCCATTTTCACCACCCTCATGACCTCAGGCCACAAGGGCTTTTGGCAGATTCAACACCCACTCATGCGCAACTGATCCATACTTTAATTGGTTCGCTACTGGATCTCGCACATCTTCGCGAAGGGAACCGACCTGCTAATTACCTGGCCATTCTAGTTGCCTCCATCCCATTGAGGTGCACCATCCACCTGGATGACTCCCCTCTTCGCCTTCGTACCCTTGTGGAGATGGACCAGATGGGAAACCCTTCATTTAGATTCAAGTAATTGTCTTGTATTTTTGTGCTTGCACTCACTTTGTAGAGTATACTGCTTGCCTGGGTTCAGACTTTTCCTTTTGGCTGTTGTCTATTTTTTTTTTCTCATTTTTGCTTTCGGTTCTTGGTTGAACTTATGTAGACCTATTATTTTCCGGACCATTTAGTGTCTTGACTATGTACAGATTAGGGATCCACTCTTAATCCCCCCTAGTATTAAAATAAATAAATAAAATAAAATAAACACCAAGTCAAGTGTCAACAGCCAAGAGTTTCTAGAACTATCCACATTATTTGAAGAATTTCTTGAACTATCCACATTATTTGAAGAGTTCGTAAATTTTACTTAGCCAATAAGCATTTTTAGAAAATTTCATGTGCAAAATTAATTTAGTCAAAGGCGGCTAGGAACTTACTAGACAATAGTTACAGCCTTAAGCTCTCTCTCTCTCTCTCTTATATATAAGAGAGAGAGAGGGGGAGAAAGAGAGAGAGAAATCTTACCTATTTACCAAAAATAGTAAGCAATAATTTCAGACAACATTTATTGCATACCGTTTTTGATTTTTTTTTATTTTTTCAAACATGAAATCAATCAGCAATTAATGCATCCTAAAATGTTGGGTTTTGTTTAATCCTATTACATTCAATTTTAAAATCGAATTGCATACACGTATGCAAGCCCAAAAATTCAGAGCAATAATTTTTATCCATCATTTATTGCAAACAATTTGCGGAATTTTTTCATTTTTTATTTTGAAACATAATATCAATCAGCATTAATGCATCCTAAAATGTTAGGTTATGTTTCATCTTTTATTTTTTTCAAACATAATAACAATCCGCATTTAATGCATCCTAAAATGTTGAGTTTTGTTTCATCATGTTGTATATAATTTTGAAATCGGATTACATACATGTATGCAAGCCCGAAAAATCGAATTGCCTACACTTTCAAAGATCCCAAATTTTGAATTCTGTTTCATACTTGATACTAAAAAATCATAATTCTATATTTATTTCAATATTTATTTAATATATTATGTGTAAATATTCTCTCAAAAATTAGCGTGAGATAATTTCTTTAGATTGTTAAGACATTTTTTTTACATAATTTATCTATATATACACGTATACATATACATATATATATACATATGTGAAATTTAAATGTTTTTAGACGTTTTTTTTTAATAAAATAGTTTAGAAAAATTTCAGGCAACTTAACATCTTTCAATAATAATATAGAAAATTTTAGATACTTTTACATATATGTAATATAATATTTTAGGTGTTTTTAATATTTTAAACATACATATTCCATGTTCTTTTAAACAAGATAATTTCATATTGTTTACAATAAATTGATATATGTTAAATTATATCACATGATAACCACACATCTTTAAATTATAATTATTATTTAATATTGTTTACCTACATTATTAATTTATAATTATTAGTTAATATTGCTTACCCTCATTTTAATTCATAATTATTTTCTTATCTTTTTCTTGTGAAAAAAGGATCAATAGTGATTTTTCACTTACGTGACTCGAACTCCGAACCTATTTATAAATATTGTTTACCCGTGAGTCGCACTAGTATGTGTGCATGAGTGTAAGATGTAAGGAGAAAAGGGGAAAAAAATGGCGTCCAATTACCAATTATAGCAATAAAGCTTCATTCAATTTCTCCCTAGCGGTATTCATATTTTTAATTGTTTGAATTACTTAGAGCATCTCCAATGTGGCTTTTGACTTCATAAAAATTCATTCATATCATCAACTTTTGAAAGTGTATTACTAATTTATTCTCCAATGCATCTTGTCATGAACTCTTTTATGATGAGGTGGATAGCATTTAATGTTGACAATGTTGAACACACTTTCTAATATCTAACACAATGTTAAACATGATGACTAATCAATTCATTTTATATTTGATTTAATTTTTTATTGTTCTTGTATTAATGATTATTTTAATTGGTCCACATATACAAATAACTTATTATCAAATTGATGCATTGGAGATAATAGTTTGATTCAAATTTCTACTCTTTTAACATTATTCCTACATGGATTAACATTACAATCATTGATTGACATGTGCTAAAAATCATTGTCTTTCAAAACTATAACATTGGAGATGCTCTTAAAGTTCTAATCTCATCAAAGTACCATGTTAGTTTTCCAAATTTAGAATTACATGGCCAAAATCATTATGGGAAATGAACATTTCCACACCCTTTACATGTAGTATTCCACAATCCACAAAACCATAGCAAATTTAATTTCATATTTACTTTTCCCAAAGCATATATTTCAAAATATATTATTGGAGATGCTCTATTTAGTGATACCATATGTAAGACTTTCAGAAATAAAAAAAGGTTTGAGACTTCTTACAGATTTCTTAGCGCAATGAGCATAAGTACGGACCAATTCAGGCCCGTTATATTTGGCCCACAAAACACGTTGTCCCATTAACCTGTGCCAAAGAAGTGCACTGCAAGATAACGAAATAAGAGCGGTTATGTGAAAAGAAAATAAAAAAAAAAATACAAAAGTTTGGATGTATTATAAATCAGAACAAACAAGAAAGTGGCTTCAAAACATTTGATGGGAAAGGAAAACAGATTTAAAAACGACGTGAAACATGTCGAATTTGAGTTGACCTGTAGTAATCTGGATTCGGAACAAATGTGTCAGTGTCGAGTAAACCATAGTTACCACCAATTAATGACTGCCTGCAGTATGTCCTTGTGCCGTAAATCGATGCTTCTCCTAGCTGAGTCAAGTACCTATACATAATTACCACAAAAAAGAAAAAGGAAAATATCAGAACAAATATGCAAACACCGAGTACATATATTACACAATCGGAGGAGATTTGTTTTCAAGGAAGACAATTCAATTTTGGTACCCCACATTCATCTATTTATTGCTTTGAGTAATTCTGATTTCAATTTAACCAATTTGATGTCCTATGTTTTGTCCACCAATCACATTTATTACACCTCGTTCATTGTAATTTAGAGTATTAAATTTGATTATGATCAAAGGTGAGGTAGATACCACAGAGAAAATTAAGTAAAAATTTGCCTTTACATTAAACAAAAAACTTGCATATTACCAAAATCCAAAGACGAATCTATTTGTAACTTTATCTTGACCACTACCCCAAACTCCTCCACCTTCCCCAACCCAACTAACAACCGCTGGGTTTCGCGAAAATCGTATAGCATCACGGAGTTCTCGGAAGGCGCTGCTTCCATCATCAGGTGGATTCAATATCTTATATAAAACTGTGGAATCACCTCCTACAAAAGCATCCGCAGCCGCAGGCGTGTTAATGATCACAATTATATTATTAATAGAGATAATGTCCTATTCAGAAAAATTCCTAAATTCTGAAAAAGAAAACATAATTATGTATCTATGATTGGTGATGATGAATAAGGACAACAATTTAGGTGAAGTTAAAACCGCTCAGAAACAAAAATACTATGGGATATTTATTTCTTGTAAAACTTTTAGGTGGTATTTAACAGTTTATTTAATTT